TGGAGAAATCATAGGGATAGGAATATTGATTCAGTACACACTCCGAATAAAATGTTTTTGTAATAAACTAGTATAAAAATTATTATTATTTAATAATTAAAATATGGCTATTTTGTTGCCTACTAATCACTTTACGTATTTTACTTATTCTCAATTCTTAATATTTGAAATTCATTCATATTATTAATAATAACTTTTCAATTCTCAATATTCATTAATATTGATGATAATGGAAATATCTCTAGACTTCCTGTGATCAGTATGCTCCTGACATGGATCGCATCTCTGAGTTTGTGCTTAGTTTAGGCTATGATGTTAGTCATAAAACTCTATTCTCCTCCTCTCAATCTGTTTATGGAGAAATCTCTGCAAATTTGTTTTACTCATTGGTAATATTTGTAAAGATGCATGCTATGCAAATTAGGCCATGGAAATAACAACTTTTGGTTGTGACTTGAAGAAGAAGAAAAAGAGAAAGTTGTGACTTGAAGAAGAAGAAAAAGAGAAAAGCATGCATGCAGTGAAGAATGAAGAGGAAGCAAAATGTATTAATCAATCTTAATCAGTTACCTAAGCATAGAGTTGCTTATATATGAAGTAACTACAACTAACTAACAAACTAAAGTGTAACTAACTTAGAGTTTGTTATTTCTGGTACGGCTATTGGTTACAGCATCATGTAGTACACCATCATCTGCATGTATATTATTTACATTAGGATCATCATCTTCATTATTATTAACAACCCCCCTCAAGCTGCAATGAATATCAATAATTTTAAACTTCGTTTGAAGAGTGTGGAATGGACTGGGATGCAGTGATTTTGTGAAAATATCAGTTACTTGCTTTTTTGTGGTAACTGGCATGAGGTGAATGGTGTTAGCTAACAACTTTTCTTTAATCACATGGAAATCAATCTCAATATATTTGGTTCTTTTGTGGAACACCAGATTGGCCGCTATATGCATAACAGATTTATTGTCACAGTAGATAATGATTAACATCAGATGAGTTATTTGGAAATCTGCAAGAAGATATAGGAGCAAAACCCCTTCACAAATAGCTTGAGCTTCAGAAGAAGATTGTGATATCACAACTTGCTTTTTGCTTTTCCAGCTAATGAAGGATTCTCCAAGGAAGAAACATGCGAGTGTCAGGACAGGCACCCCAATCGGAGTCTGAGAATCCTTTAAGACATAACGAGGAAGTAGAGATGAAGAAGAAGCTTTGGCATGGGTGATTCTTAAGATATTTTAGAACATGAAGACCAGCTAACATGTGGCTATCAGTGGGAGCAGCAAGAAATTGACTGAGCTTGCTTACATCATAAGCAATTTCTGGTCTGGTGTGAGTGAGATATAAGAGGCGGCCAATGAGTTTTTGATAGGTGGTGGGTTCAGATAAGAGAGTTCCAAGGTGTTTGTGAATTTGAAGATGAGGCTGCATAGAGGTAATGCAAGGCTTTGTACCAAGGAGGCATACATATGTGATTAAATCTAAAGCATATCTTCATGCATTATAATGAACATAAGTTTCCTTACCAAAATACTTGAGAAAAATCATTTTATGATATTGTAAATATGCTTCGCAATGATAGTGTAATAAATATTCCTATGATATTGGGTATTAATATGTCAGAAAAATTACCTTGTCACCCCCATTTTATATCGGTCACCTCCAAATTTTTAATATTTCTAAATTCTCCTATTAATATTTATCTATCAATTTTACTATTCCTTCAAAAAAAAAATCACTTTTTTCAATTTATAAAAACGAAATTTTCGTTAGTTATTTTAAAATTTTCAATATCTCTTTTTTTTTTTTTTTTTTTAAATTCACGTGTATATACTAAAAATTAGAAAAATCTGATACAAAATATCAGAATTTTTAGAAAATATGGTATTGAATATCGGAAGTTGTCAAAAATTTTCAGTAATTTACACAAACCGTCCGTTCCAATACTGGAAATTGTCAAAATTTCAGATAAATTACAAAAACTTTCTGAAATTTTGCTTGTGTTTAAAATTTTCAATAACAAAACAAAAATTAGGAAAAATGTTTTATTTGTGTGATCTGGAGCCAGCAAGGTTATCTACAGATTCATATAGCAATTGTACATAATTCTTCACCACAAACAAAGTATGTTTTTACGTAAAGAGTTTAAATTTGATATTTTTTTGCCCTTATATGATATTGATATTATACTTTTTATGTGATGTAAATGACATATATTTGAGACCCGGTCTGAAGTATTAGCCTAGACACAGAATATTGGCAAGCAACATGGTATTATAGTTGTGACTGTTAGTTCTGATACTACAAATGGTCAGCGAGGTAGGAAAGATAAATTAATTATAGATTTGTAAGAGAGGAGAAAATTATAAAAGAAAAAATACATCTGAAAGCAGCAAATCTTCATAGGGCATTTATAGTATGAAAGTGAAATGTCTTTTTACGCTGAGATTTGTGTCGAATGGTAGTGGTTGGAAGGTGATGGTTAGGCGTGGGTTTCACAATCATAAATTATTTGAGGATTTAGATGGTCATGACATATTGGGTCGTCTAAAATTTCATGAGAGACAATTTGTGAATGACATGACGAAGTACAACATGGCTCCTCGATACATAGTTTCTGCCTTGAAAGACAAAAATCCAGAAAACCTCACCAATGTTACTCAAGTGTATAAAGCTAAAGCTACATACAAGCGAGGAAGAGAGGTTCACTAACGAAAAACAAATGTTGTTGACTCTTATACATAGATAAAAATATATGTGTTGGACGAGAAATAGGGAAGACTCAAATGTTGTTGTTGATATCTTATAAACGCATTCTAATTTAGTGAAGTTGTTGAATATGTTTTACTTGGTGTTGATTTTTTATTGTATATACAAGACAAATAGGTAATGTGCATTGTCATCATACTTTGATATCATTTTACAGACTTTGATTTATCAAAAAGTATATTATTTGTACCGTGATCATATAGGTATTAGCTACCACTCCTTAAGATTGTTGGTGTTACATCAACAAAATTGACATTTTCGATAGACTTTGCCTATTTGAAACATGAGAGGGAGGAGAACTTCAAATGGGCACTGGAGAAGCTCAAAGAGTTATTCTCTTCCGAAAAATTGCTACCGAATATTGTGGTGACAGACTGAGAACTTGCGTTGATGAATGTAATTAAAGTTGTGTTTCCAAATTTAACACATTTGTTATGTTAGTTTCATATTTCAAAAAACATTAGCATAAAATGTAAAGAGTATGTTAAATCATAAAGACATGAACATGTCATGGATCTATAGAATAACATCATGTATGCTAATAGAGAAAATGAGTTTGTCGCACACTTGAAGCATTTTCAGACTATTTGTGATGATAATCATTTGTTTGTTAAGTATGTGAGTGAATCATGGTTGACACCTTATAAAGAAGTGTTTGTTGCTGTTTGGACTAACGTATTCACTCATTTAGGGAACACAACAACAAACAGGTACACTGACTTCTTTTCGATGTTATTACTAAGCATAATGTATCATGTTGCCTCATTATGATTTAATTATTGTGATTTAGGGTGGAGTCTGCTCATTTGAGACTAAAAAACATGTTGACTACAAGCCGGGGAGATTTATGTCGACGTTGGGATGATGTGAACACACCATGTTAAAGTTGCAGCTACGTTCAATCAGAGTGTCGTTTTAAAAAAGTATTGTCAATATTGAGCATCGATATAACACTCCACAGTTTTGTTTCAAGGCAGTGTAAACAGCACATATGGAAAGAGCTAGAAAGAGTAAAAAAATTGATACAAGCAAAGATGTTTGTGGTTGCTTCATTAGAACTACACGTAGGTTACCTTATACGTGTCAACTTGTTGGTTTCCAAATACAAGGCTTGTCTGTTCCTTTAGAACCAATTCATGTTTTTCAGAAGAAATTACACATTGCATGTTAACGATCATGACGATAGTGGCACAAAGTTGGATTTAGAAGCAGAGTGTTAAGAGTTGAAGACATATTTCAATTCTTTGAATATTGTAGGCTAAAGGGTGTTGAAAAAAAAGGTTTGAGAGCTAACACATCCATTTGCAACTTCTATGTGTCCACCGCCAATGAAGTATAAGTCAAAAGGGGGAGTTAAGAAGAGCGGAAATGATGGAAGAGAGTGACGTGCATCGTGATCCTTCACAATGGGAGATGGTGAGGGCACGTAGAGGAGTCAGACTATAAAGAAAACATGTACAAAACCAACAGGAAGTCAACCTTTAAGTATAAGTCAAAATCAACCATCCACTGCATCTTCGAGGCATCTTTACTTGTCTCAGTTTTTTTATTTCTTGCATTCATACATTGATGATATTGTTGATGTAGGTGACAATAGAAATTGTGATTTTCGAGTTATTGCAGCTTTATTTAAATGGGGCAAAGAGTCATGGTTGTTGGTCCGAACGCAGTTAGATACTTAAGTTTATCAACATTTTAAATTGTTTTCTAATTTGTTCTATGACACGATCTCTAGAATTAAGAACTCTTTAAAAGTAGAACACTTGGGTGTACAAGGTCAAAAATAGATGACGGTCAAAAAAAATATATGACGATTTCTAATATGGGTTGCATATATATAGTTTTTTTAATGCTTAGAAGGATATGAGAATGAGAAGCTGAATGTGTTCATTAGTAGGATTTTGTAAACAGAGATCTCAAAACAATAGAGGGTCATGATTTATTTTAGGCTTTCAAGCAAGGACTGAAAACAGATAATGTGTTGTTTGAGAGATTATGTTTGACAGGTTATGCAGTCGGAGACAGTCAAAAATGAAGTCAAAATTATAAACTAGGAGTTGTAAACTTGGAATGAAAGAACACTTGAAAGGTAAACCTGTTGAGAAAAATATATGCTTCTCATTATGCCAAAACCAAAACTAGTTTTTAGTTCTACTATCACTCTCAAAAAGCCATAATAAATACACAGGTACTGCACAATAGATAACAGAAAAACATCAAATTTTAGCATTTAAAAGTGTTGGAGTCAATTTGAAGCTGACATCATCATAAGGCTCCTCTTGACTTACATCAATAAGATCATGAGTCTTTAACACCTGTAATGCAACAGAAACCACATCAAAACCATAATTCCATATCCACAAACATTCTAATTCTTTTGACATAATTGAAGTTCATTTCAATGTCATGAAACTAACCAAAACTTCAAAGAACATCCGAGCAGCAATCTTTCTAGTTTTTCCTTCCAACATCTTGTTCAAGCTAAAATCTTCAGCAGGCTGCTCCGGAATTGGAGTACACGGAGAATAATCTTTTAAATATTGAGCTAGACCCCTGGAATTAAACAAGTGGAAAACATTAGCCATATTACGATACTAGAAAAGTATTCTCAAGAACAAAATTGACATTAACATCGTATGTGCCCCGGAACAAACATATTCTGCAATAGATAAGTACCTGGACCTTCCAGTCAATGTGCCAATACTTGTTGTGCTTGTGCTTTGTGAACCTGTCGTTAAAAAATTTACGTCAACTATAATATTAACACCACTTTAAGTAAAATACTGTCTCGAATCAAATATCAGATGACATGAAAACAAAACCTACTGGCAGTGACCGGTGTGTTGCTCTCTTCTTCAAGAAACGGATACTCCTACAAGAATAAGGTTGATAAGATATTAGCTTACATTAAGTTTCTATGCTCAGACTAAACATCCCTAACAAGAATAAAAAATTTACGCTGAAAGGAAATGGAATATGATTCATCAAACGAGATTATATCAAAGTATTGATAAAGAAACATTAAACCGTACCCCTTTTTCAGCAGAATAGTTGCGTAGATTAGTATCTGTAAAGTCTGGAATGTCAAAGTCCTGAAATGTATTATCTTGATAAGTGCTAGGGGTTCCAATTTCGGATATATGAGCAGGAGGTGAAGTTGCACCATATGGTATCTCCAATGCCTCAGAAACTAAAATAGGTGTCGCACCATTTCCGTTAACAGGACTCTTGTTAGTACCTTCAATAATGGGTTCAGTGTCTATATTCTGAGTTGGGGTAGTAGGAGCATTAGCAACGGAACGGCCTTGTTCAGTTGCCTCCACGATAACCTCAGGTGCATTATCATTAATCTCATGTTCATTAACAACAACCTCAGGTGCATTATCAATAATCTCATGTTCATTAACAACAACCTCGGATGCATCCAGTATTGGCTCATCGACAATTTGATTAATTGGAGAAGTACTAGTAGTACTATCCATATGATCTTCCTCAGAGATGACCAAGTGGGGTTTTGAACATATATATTCCCTATTGTGTATGTTTATAAGTTCGTTGCATACTCCTGAAAAAGAAGACGCAACTTTCAAATGACAAATTCATAGATAAGTACTAAAATCTGCAAATTGAATAATAAAGAACAACCTACCTGTAAATAAAGGTTGGTCAAAAATATTATCCTTTAATCGTTTGTTTTTCAGCTTCCATGTATCCAGAGGAGAGGAAGGGCCGTCTTTTCTCTTCCGCAGTATATTGTGAGTATTATTAAGGTTCTCCCTCATGAATCTACAGAGGCATCCTAGTATGAGCAACAAGCATAACCAGAAATTTCTACAAATAACTATATGTCACAGGACACAGAAGTAGTTTATCGAACAATTGAATAATTACCTATTTGTTAACACTATGGGATCATCAAAGAATTGTTTTCTCTTCCTTCCTCTTTGTTGCTTCTGATCCTGTACCTGCTCTATTTGAGGGCTAGAAATAACCCTAACATTGAGAGAATCTTGACCTAAAGCTGGTTCAGAATTTAGCACTGAGATTGAGTGAGAAAAATCAGCTTTGAAATTCTAGGATTCATATGTGAATGTAAGAAACAAGTAAGCACTTACCTCCATAAACTTGTGCATCTGAGGCACCATCTCCAGAAGCAGCTGGAGTTAGTGGACGTGCTGGTTGATTTGATGAGGGTTCATCGCGGGTCACGTCAACCATTTCATGAGTATGATCCTTTTCATTCACATTTTGGTCGAGATCTTTGGTGAGTTCGATATCATTATGCCCACTGTTTTGTAGATTTTCAATAGCACCATAATCATTGGTGGCATAATCATTGGTGGCATCACGGAGATTATTCTCCACTGGTATTGCCTGTTCAGTAATGGGATCCATAAAGCTAGGTACGTTATCATCAGTTGTATGATTGGTTGCATGTGACTCTGTATGGGAACTTGGACCAACATCTTGAAAATCTGCTCCAATTGTCAATGGAGATTGAGGAATAATGCTACAAGGATAAACAATTTACTATTCAGTTGGTTCATATAGCAGAAAAAAAATGTGAAAAGCAACTAAACACCAAAACCAACAAAGCTTACTCTTCCTCTATTGGTCTTGCATCGGAATCCGGAAGCAGTTGTGTGTTTGAAGAACTAAATGTTGTGTCCTTAAAATACAAAAAAAGAAAAAACATTATTCAAATTAAAATCTCAAGTTCAACATAGATGAAAGGAATGAAAAGGAAAGTAAAAAACATGCACCTCATCGAATCGTATAGTCACATAATTCTCCAATACAGTAGGATTTTCATCTGTGCATGAAAAAGCATTAAAATAATTTTAACTTTCATGTGTTACTAAACGATGTATAAATAAAACTATGCATCTGCTTCAATAACCTGCAAGAGTAATATCTTCTAGACTCTTCATGTGATGATCCTCATACCCATTAACATCCATTCCATAGCTCAAGTTAAGCGCATCAAGGTCAAAAGTGGCTGGCATGGTGATAGTATGAAGAGGTGCTTGCATTCCATCCTCGGGTAAAGTATGATTTGATACAGCAGCAAATACTTTGTATAAAACAGTACGAACAATATTGCAATCATTGAGAAGATAATCAACTTTCTTTGAATAAATACGAACAACACCTAAGAGTAGGTGAGCTGACATTCTCAAAGCAATGGGAACCCCAGGATCCATTATATGTTCTAAAAGAAAAAATCAATATCAATAATTAATCAAAACAACAACAGCCACAAAAACAAAAACAACAATACTTATAAACATCACAGAGAGCAGAACCTACGAAATTTAAATAAAAACAAAGGAAAATACAAACTCTGGAATTCCTAAAAACTAGTAACATTGTTCCATGAAAATTTACGTGTTCAGAAAGAAACTTTCAAACCCTATAGAAAGATAATCACAACAGCAAAAACAATAACAACAACAACAACAACAACAACAACAACAACAACAACAACAACAACAACAACAACAACAACAAAAACAGTAAAATCAAAATCCTCTAGATGCAAGTTTAGAACAAAGAAACAAAATTAACAAAATTCACTAAAAAACACAAACTCAGGAACTAATAGCTTGAACAACTTCCTTTTGCTTTAACTCGAGAAAAATCATATTTTCTTACAGAAAATTAGACCCCAATAGAGAGATTAACAGTGTGTCTCAAAGAATAAAAAAAAAACTTTAACACGGATTGGTGGAATGGTGACTTACGAACGGTGGAAGGGATGTCAGTGGACGTGCATTGAGATTTCTTGAGTCTGTGTTGAAGATGAGCAGCAATCCAAACAGTTGAGAGCCGTCCTTTTCGCGCCAAAAACGTCTGAGAGTAAAACATCTTCTTCTACGTCTTCTTTGTTGCTGTTATTCTCAAGATGAGACTCGAATTTGGGAAATTGATGAAAACGAGTGAAGAGGAATTGGGAGGGATTTTAGGGATTTGTAGAAATTAGGGTTTTTATTGCAGCGCGGTTTTATTTTAGGAAATATTTTGGCGCGCGATTTGATGAAAATTTTGAAGGAAGCGGTAGGTTGTGTTGGATACGCTTCTTCTGGTTTCTGTTAAAACACCTTGGTCCATCTTATATTTACAATATCTGCCATTACTATATTATTTATTATTATTATTTTTTTATTATTCATGGAGTATTAATATTTTTTTAATCTTACTTGGCCAAAATTAATTACTTTATTTGCAAAGTCATGAGGTACTGCTTATCATTAATTATGGATATATACTTTATTTGACTTTACTACTTTTCTAGATGAATCGCTACTATTAATAAAAAAATAATTTAAAAAATAATTATGGGAAAGAATATATAATGAATTTAATTGTTATCCACTAAATTATTTATAAATATTATTGTTATTAAAATAAAATTTAAATATTTAAAAAATTTTAATTGTTATGATTGATTGATAGTAAAATATTATGTCAATTAAATTCGTAAATAAAGACAAATAGTGGAGAATTGAACAAATGTAAAAACTTGTATAAATACCTTAAAAACTATTAAAGACATATTTAAAAATGTTTTACATCCTAATCTATAAACAATTTTTATTGAATATTTTCATTTTCAAAAAATGTGAAATGCCGCTTTTATTTAGAGAAAAGCAGGGTGTGTTGGAATGATTTTTCTAAATAACAATTTTTTTTAATTTAAATAACTAATATTTCAAATTGTATGCTAAAATATTCATGTTTAAAATATAAAAATCATACGTAAAGGATGCGTCATTGCTACTTGTGCATGCACTCGAGATTAGCTTCATGCGTCATGCCTAGTGGCGCATGCATTATGAACATGTCAACTTCGGTGGTACTTGCATTGCTATCTTAAGAGGATGTGTCATTTCATCTAGCGCATGCATGTTAGCCTAAGAAGAGGCGTCATTCCCCCTAGCGCATGTGTTGTAATATTTTTTTATAAATAGGTCACCCACTCTCCATCATTTTGTCACTCATCTTTTCATTTCATTCATAATTTTTATAAATGTCTTATAAGTCCTTTACTCAAATCACCACATGCATTTGATATACTTGAGTTCCTAGCTTCTTTTCATTAATAGTATTTATCCCTTTATGGTCTCTCTAATCCTTCACGGTCTAAGAATTTCTTTATTCTCGATCTTTGCCTCATGCAAAGTGTTATGCCTCTCTTATCATACCATCTTTTATATGGTATTATCTTTATATGGTCTCTCTAATCCTTCACGGTCTAAAAATTTCTTTATATGGTTCTTTTAATCTCAGGATCAAAAAGAAGTTGATCTACAGGTACACTCTCTCGCATAAACAATCTCCACACTTAACCAAACAAATTAAACAACAGAAGAAAAATAAACAAAGGTAAGAATAACAATACAAACATCTTAAAATCAATATACTATTGCAATGCTTGCAATATCACAACAATCCCCGGCAACGACGTCATTTTGTTCGAATCGTACTAAAGGTGGGTTTTTGTTATCGTCTCCACAGGGATTGTTTGATATTTTGATGCTTTCCTTTCAATAGTTTATCGTTAAAAAAAAAAGGTTTTCAAAGTTTTGTTCATAAATTGTCACGTTTTTAGTAGCAAAGCTTATAAATTATAAAGTGTTTGATTAATAAAGTATATCAAAAGCAATTTTTATCTACCCTAACTTATACGTATTCTTTCAATCTTGCATATGAAGTTGGATCCAATTAATATCGTTATACATTCCTTCAACACCGTCTATCTATATAGCAGCATCGTGAGATATACTGTATTCACCGCTACACGATCTCTCCATATAACAACTAATATAGTAAGCTTTAAATCCAACACAAAGCAACTATCAACCATAGACCGATCTCTCCAGTCTATAAATCGATAGATGGATATTTTAGGTCAAGTTCCACAAAATCTATGTCTAGAGTTTTATAAAACAAGAATGGATCATTAAGAACAAAAATATTCATCACATATTAGTTATCACTTGTTCACATACAATGTCAATCAAAAGAAATACATAAAGCTAATGGTAGACTACCTCTACCTTTGATACAAAGGAAATTAGCTACCCATAACCATGGTAGAGTACCTCTATCTTTGATACAAAGGAAATTAGCTACCCATAACCATGGTAGCTTGTTTTTATAAGTAATGAGAGAAGATGAATGAGCATCCACGTCAAAGAATCGAACTCGGATGCCAATCCAGTTTCTATTTATAAAATATCACCTTTTGGTGAAGAAATGCTGAGAAATGAAATTTCTAGGTGAAAAATGGGTTATGATCCCAAAAAAATGTGAAAATTACTTATATAGTACAACTAGAATCTGTCAAGTTCGCTCAGCGAACTCCACTTTATGGCACCTGAAGTGCCTATGAACAATTAAACTGCCCCTGAGGATTTTATAAAGTATGTTGTACGAGCAATTCTCCCCCCTGCAAACTACTTTGCTACAAGTTCGCACCGCGGACTTATGGTCTTTTAGCTACTAACTTCAGTCTGAGATAGCTCGTTGGTCCTTCGCTGCAACCTTGCCCAATAAATATTTGCTACCAGTTCTCCTAGTGAACTCGGTGCCCTTTTCCTACTGCCATTATTCTGAGATGGTTTGTTGGGGCTTCACCGTGAGCTCGCCCAACGAACATTCGCTGCTACTCCTTGTTGGTTGTTCGCCCATTGAGCATGCTGGAACTCTTCTTTTGCTTTGGCTTCCTTGTTCATTAACTTGTGTCTCACAATTTGATGTTTTATGCCTAATTTCTGCACAATAACACATAAATCAAAGCAACCAAAGGTATTTTCAACAATGTTGAAGAATAGCATGGAAACATGGAGTAAATCCAACAAAACATGACAAATAAGATTAAAAAAATACCAATAAATATGGATCAATTTGAAGCATGTTTGGCATTCAACATCGACACGAATTCTCCCCACAATTCTTTGGGTAAATGCTTGCCTTTCAACATACTTCTCAACATATTCATGATAGTTCTATTCTTCTTTTATGCAGTTTCATTCTGTTGTGGAGTGTATGGTGGCACCACCTCATGCATAATCCATTATTTCTCACACAATGCATCGAAATCTTTTGACACGTACTCTCCACCACCATCGTTCCTCAGAATCTTTAGCTTTCAACAATTTTATCTTTCGACCATAGATTTAAATTTGGCAAATACCTCGATCATTTCAATTTTCTTCTTGATCAGATAAGTCCACAATTTTCGAGTGAAATCATTCATGAAAGTGACAAAGTATCTGTTACCTCCATTTGAATCCACCCGGATAGAATCACATACATTCTATTATATGGCTTCAAGAATTGCCTTCGACTTGCTTCTTGCATCCTTGCTGAAGTTATTCTTGTGTTGCTTTGTCTACACACGTTCTTCACACACTTCATTTGGAATCTCATATTCTGGTAATCCTGAAACCATATTTCTTCTCTTTAGATCTTTGATGTCTTTAAAGTTGAGATGACCAAGTCTATAGTGCCATATCCACTCATCCCTGCTAGATACAGTTGCAAGACACTTATGCTCCATCACATTAAGCTCAATTTCGAAGGTTCTATCTAAGACATTGAAGCCTTCAAGACCAACCTTCCATTTTGAGTCGAGAACTTTCATCATCTTGTCTTTAATCTACACTTGTATTTCTTTTCGACCAACTACTTTATGCTGAGCAAATTACTCTTCATGTCTGGTATGTACAATACATTGAAAATTACTAACCTTTTTCCATCTTTTCACATGATTAGAACATCATCGATACCTTCAGCTGCTAGAGTATTGTCATTTGCAAATTTCCCCATGTTTTTCATTGAGAAATTTATGGTGACAAACCAATCTTTCCTACCAGTCATGTGTGACGAGCATCCTGAGTCCAAGTACCATTGGTCCTAGAATATTTCTTCATCTCTTGTTATGACCATCAACAACGTCTCTTCTTCTTCATGTTTCGTCAGGTTTATACAAGTTTCTTGCTTGTTATGCTTTTCAGGACAATCACTAGAATAACGACCACACTTCTGACAATTGTAATATTGAATGTGACTTTTGTCAGGTTTTCAACCACCACTTCTTCCTCTGCCTGCTGCACCACCTCTTTGGTTGCTTTAGTATGAGGACTTTATTTGATTTGACCAACCTCATTCTTGCAAATTTTAACCATTCGAATTATTGTAGCCTCTTCTGTATTTGTTGCCATTTCAACTTCCTTTGCCTTTATTTTCTTTTGTTGATTGCGTATGCAAAGCCATATCACCATTCGACTTGCCTACAACTCTTTCAACCATCCTTTATTCATGAGATTCAAGCGTCCATTGAAGCTCTTACTTTGTCAATATAGATAAGTCTTTCGACTCTTATATGGCTACTACCACGTGGTCAAACTTCAGAGCCAATGACCTCAAGATCTTTGCAACAAATGATTTTAATGTCAACACTTATCCACTTACCTTGATTTGATTTACCAGTTTTGTAATCCTAGTGAAAAAATTTGTTATGCTTTTAATGTCTTCCATTTGAAGTAATTCATAGGTTCTTTTGTGAGTTTGTAACCTCGCCTCTTTCACCTTTTTTGCGCCTCCAAACGATATCTCTAGAATTTTCCATGCTTCTTTCCCTGATTCTACATCACTAACTTTTTCAAAATTATATGGATCAACGCATTGATGAATTATAAAGAGAGCTTTATAATGTTTCTTCTTCAATTTTTTGTGTGTGGTCGTTTCTTGATCTGACGCGTTTTCTGCAAGTGGTGTTACTCCTTCCTTCAAATGATCCTAAAGATCTTGATAACAGAAGACAAACTTCATCAGCTTGCATCAATTCTCATAATTATTGTTCTTGAGAATCAGAAAACTCGCTAGAAAATGCATGTTTGGATGATTCATTGCCATCGTGATTTTCTTCCCACGAATCGCTCAACTAGGCTTTGATACCAGATGTTGGAAATCCACCTATACCTATGGAGAATTTTTATCAATCTTTATGAAAAATATTATTATTGGTACACAATAACAATGAAAATAAAGAAAAAAATACATAAGAAAGAAAATTAGGGTTTGACAAAATATAGAAGATGATGGTGATTTCTGGAGAGTAACTCTTTGCCCACAAACTATGAAAAACTTACTCACTTTATAACTGCAAAATTCTATGAATTCAAGTTGTTACAAGGTAAGGGTTACTCTATCTATTTATAGTTTTAAGTTAGTTTGCTCCCTAAGTCAAAGCCCATAACACAAAAGCCTAAAATATCCAATTTAGCTAACGCTACTAAAATAGGCATAAGTCGAAATCCTGTCGAGCACTACCTGCTTCGACATTTCGACACACACATACACTAGTCTAATTTTGACACATTATTGTTTCTATCAAACATTACATGGTTCGACACAAGGAATTACATCCTTAACACACCACTTAATTCATTGTGTCTAAGCTATATATATTCATCATAGCTCTTAGTCTTCTGAACACTTCGACCTGCACTCCCTTCGTCATGATATCTGCAATCTAATTCTTAGTTCTACAGTATTCCAAGTTCATCTCTCCTCCTGCTACTTGCTCATAAATATAGTGGAACCTCATTTCGATGTGCTTGCTTCGTCCATGTGCTATCAAATTCTTCGCCGGATTGATAACAGACATGTTATCGATATTCATGGTAATTGCTCAGTGACTCTTCGATGTAATCTCTTCGACTAAGTTCACCATCCTTTTTCCTTGACATGCATAGAGAGAAGCGGTTATGTACCCTATTTCGGTACGACGACAATGCCATTACTAGCTTCTTTCTCAAACTCCACGCAACTGGTGCACCATCTAGCATAAACACATAACCAATTGTGGATTTTCTATACTCAGCATCACTACACCAACTTGAGTTGGTGTATCTCACTAACTTGCATTATTTTCCTTTATCAGCTGTAGAAAACAAAATGTCATAGTCGATAATTCCTTTCAAATACCTTAGTATCCTCTTTGTCACTGTTAGGTGTGATAACTTTACCTTCTGCATGAATATACTTACCATACATATACTGTATGCTAAGTCAAGCCTCGTGTGACAAAGGTGTCTTAGTGATCCAATAAGTCTTCTATATTGGATTGGGTCGACATCATCTTCATCCAAATCTTTTAACAGTTGTAGTCTTGGTTCAATAAGTGTCAAAGTCGAGTTGCATTTTTCCATCTCAAATCTCTTGAGAATTTCACTTGCACATCTTCTTTGATGCATCATAAAACATCTACTACTCTTGTAGAATTTAATGCCAAGGAAATATGAAATGTCGCCCAGATCAGATATTTCAAATTTCTTTATAAGATCACCATTGAAGTCTTCAATCTCTTTCTTGCAGATACATGTTATCAACAAGTCATCGACATAGAGACATATTATTAACAATTCAATCCTGCTTCTTCTTACATATACTCCATGCTCAGTTGTGCACTTCACAAATTTCTTATCTGTTAGAAAGCTATCTATCTTCTTATTCCAAGCTTTTGGAGCTTGCTTAAGTCCATATAGGGCTTTATGCAGCCCGTATACCTAGCTTTCTTCGCTCTGTTTCACAAATACAGCTGGTTGTGCAACATAAACCTCTTCATCTAAAGGATCATTCAGGAATACACATTTCACATCCATCTGACACGTGTGTCAATTGTTCATATTTGCTAGACCAATAACTAACCTGGTTTTTTCGATTTTAACAACATGTGCCAAAATTCGTCGAAGTCAATTCCTTCTTTCTGAAGAAATCCATTCGCCAAAGTCTTGCCTCGTGTCGAGTAACTTTTTCTTTGGGATTCAGCTTTACCTTGTATACCCACTTCACATCGATTGACTTCTTGCCTTGAGGCAACTCGACAAGTGACTAAGTGGTATTGACTTCGACAGACTCTAAATTTTATTTGTTTTTAAGGAACTTCAGTATAAGATAACTTTTTTAAAAACTAAAATCATATTTTTAAATCCAAAATAAACTTACAATATATTCAATTTAATCTTATTTAGTCCAAAATAACACAATTTAATCTTTAAATATATATTTTTATTAAAAATTTTAGTCTTTAGTAAATATGATAAATGATTAATTTCTAAATTTCAACTTGATAAAAATAAATTACAATTTTTTCAAAGATTAATTTTTATACATTAAAATTGTAAAAAAATATCCATTCAATCAAATCATACCATAACATTATGTTTGTTAGATTTAATATTTGTTTTGATAGGTAGAAAAAGTTCCTTATCCTAGTGTACATGTTGTTGAGTTGTGTTGCTTGTCATAACATTATTATAACATAAACTTTGTTTCTACTTAATCTTTCACTTTCTTTCCTTTCCATTTCCTCTCTCAAACAAAGCAAAGGATAAGATTCAAAAATTGCAACAAAACCCATCATCACCGACATCACAACACAGAGAAACAAAAATGGCAGAACAAGAACCACATCCACCACCAAACGATCTATGTTCAATCTGCCACGGAACCTTCCAAATCCCATGTCAAGCAAATTGTTCCCACTGGTTTTGCGCTAACTGTATACTTCTCGTTTGGCGCCACACTTCCGGCATTCAGCCCTGCAAATGTCCGCTCTGTCGTCGACCGATTAACCTCTTGGTTCCGACGAATGACATCAACAACGATTCGCCGCAAATTCTCTCGGAGATTCAGATTTATAACCGGACTTTTGGTAGGCAATCCGATGCTCCTATTTCTCAGAGGATTCTTGATCTTCCGTTCCTTTTGAGGAGGCTTTTTAGGGATTTTGTTAACCCTAATAACTCGCTTCCTCTTGTTATCAGAGCTCGGGTTTTCCTTTCGGTTAGTTTTCTTCCTTACTCAACTGTTTAATTCGTTATTGTTGTTGTTGTTTCTGTTCGAATTCATGTTTGATTAGTAGTAGGTAGTTGAAATTGAATGAAGCAAAATTTATTAGGGTTTATGTAGGAAAGGATGAATTCTTTGAATTTGAAATTGAAATTGATAAATTTTGCTTGTATGTGTTCAAATTCATGTCTTGATTGATTGATAGATAGTTGAAATTGAATGAAACATAATTGATTAGGTTTAGGGCTATGAAGTAAGGATACGACACTGGTATTAACTTGAAAAAAAAAGTAAATGAATTGAAAGTAATCAAGTTTCGGTTTCGCACATGGAAACTGACACCAGAGCCGTCTAAATAGGGCCTCAAAAAATATTTTTCACTTTAAATCGTGATTAAGTAGGGCCTTAGAAAACACGTCGACACTGGTATTAATTTGAAAAAAAAAGTAAATAAATTGACCGTAATCAAGTTTCGGTTTCGGACATGGACACTAACACAGATGGATACCTTTTTTCAGAGGTATCGGTGCTACTTAGGATTAGGGGTTTTTTGCAGGGCGTTTTCTGTTGCTATTCTATTTTATTGTTTGTTTGTATAGGAAGGGATGGGTTTTTAACTAAGCACAAATGCTACATGATGTGTGGTTTTCTTGGTTCTGCATTGAGAATTTTTTTGACAGATTAAATATTTGGTTCCACTTTGGGAAGAGGCAAAAGTGATTTTAGAAGTGGAGAATTGATTTTTGCATGTTTGGTTTCTCTAAAGTAGAATTTGATTTTGCTTTCAGAATTGATACTACTTGAAGTTAGGATTTATAATTTGAGTCTAAACGTAGTGTTAACAACACTGAAATTTATTGTTCAAATCACTTTTGCACCAATGTATCTAACTATAGATCACCTGACTTTCAACTTATTTGTAGTCGAAATCAATTTTATAGAATCAATTCACTCATAATCAGTCTTTCTCATTGCAACCCAATACCAATGACATGCTGAATTGATTTTGTAAAACCGATTTTAGAAAAAATGACGATTTATGTTAAGATACAGCAAAAAGTGATTTTTTTTTTTCAATTTGTGTTTGGATCACAATTGCTATTCTTTGTGTGTATGGCTGTCACTTTTAATAAATTTTAGAATTCAAATTATATTGGATAGTTTCATTATGAGGCAACTAAGGCAAGCAAACTTTTGTTGGGGATCAAGACTATGTCTTAGTCCTAAAGTCTTTGATTTGAATCTGACATGTATTACATACATTTTGAGTTTGGAAAAAATAAATTTGGTTCTACAAAGAAATTGATGCTATGAAACTGAGATTTGTCTCAGAATAACCAAAAATTGCATTTGATCAATTCTGATACATTGCAACACATTTGTAGTGTGAATCTTGACGCTGACATTGTCTCTTATTATACAGATGATACTGAGTGTCATATACATCTTCAGCCCGATTGACATCATTCCAGAAGGTAGTGTCGCTAAACATATTGATGAATGGTTTCAATTACTTGTTTAGTTTGTGAAATTGTAACTATCTGTTGTTCATGTTAGAGTTTTCTTCCATTTTCTCTGCAGGAATATTGGGAGTGGTTGGACTCTTGGATGATGTTCTAATTGCACTAATCTTCTTCCTACATATTGCTACCCTCTATAGATCAGTTCTTTACAACCGTCATGGGGGTGCATGAGTAAAGTAGTGAAATGAGATGTTGTTGCATTTACACCCCTGTTGTAAAAATTGAATTGACTATACCCTCTTTTGTACATAAGACTACTAACGCGCTCGAGAACAGTTTCAAATAATGGATTTAGCAAGAGGTTAATAATCGAAAAGCTTCATTTATAATTTCAAATATCTTGTAGAGCCAAAAGAAATATCAAAGTTTATCTTTCTCAATTACCATAGTTCTTACGTGAGAACTATGTTGCTGGCTATATATAAGTGTGCCGCTTCTCTGTAGTGGAGGGTTACTACGTCGAAAAAAGGCGCAATTAATAACAATGTAATGTCCTGGACGAGGTATTTTACTTTAAAAAAAATCTTGATCAAGTTACAGACTAAATGACACTAAGTGAGTATTAAATGAGCCTAAGTGAGTATTTATGGCTTCTTTTCCTTGCCAAATCACTTTTCTTTATTTTCAACTTTGAAGAATTCTAGGGTTGATTCTCCTTTGGTTGTTTAGTTCCCTTGTTCTATCTTCAATTTTGTGACAATTATCAATTCTTATTTAAAATTATGGGTTCTAATACTAGTTAGAGCTTATTTGAATGAGGTTTAACTTTTTATTTTTAAAAATTATTTTATAAATAAATTTTAAAAAGGAGAAAACTTAGATATAATTTTTTAAGTGTGATTTTTATTATTTTTTAATAAAAATATGATAAGTGTATAATTCAATTAGACTCATATACAAGTTTTTCTTATTTTCAATCCCCAAGTAAAATTGTCATATTTTCATTGAAAAATAATAAAAACAAAACTTAAGAAATTGTATATAAGTTTTCTTCTTTTAAAGAAGAGTTTTAAAAAAATAAAGAATAAATTTTTAAAATAATTTTGTAAAATTAGACTATGAAACATGTTTTATTATTTTCAAAATTTAAAAATTTAAAAAATACCAAAGCCCGTATTATTCTTATTTTTTGTTTGGCTTAAAATACACAATTTTTTGGGCTTAGGCCCAATTCTATATAAAATTAATCAAGTTCGCTAGTGTCTACAAGTGTTTATTTTAAAAGATTTCTTAAAACACCCTATGTATTTCTTAGATACCATATAGATTTTTTATAATGCTCATCGTTTTCGGAGATATATCTCCGAATGCACTATATTTTAACTAAATGTTAAGATATTTTTTAGATATATCTCTGGACGCACCAAAGATCAATTGAACGTTGAAATATTTCAGAGATATATCTCTGGAACAATTTAGAGCATATTGTCGTGTCAAATTCTTCTCCTCCCACAGATTTTCATTTCTATTCACAAACCTCTTCATCTCTCTCATTTTCAAATTTCTTAAACTTCACCAAATTTGATTTCTTCCGTCTGAGGCTCAGGTAATCATCAAGTTGCATCTAGTGCATCATTCAACATCTTCCGAACCATATAATCCGGGTAAATTTTTTGAGTTTCCGAAAAATATTCGAGTTTTGTTGTAAACGAGTTAAAATCTATTGTTAGATGTCGTAATGTTTAGAAATTAGATGAAACACAGTATAGAGTAACTGCGTGTATTGTTTGTTGGCTCAAATGGACGATCAGAGCTTCAAATTTGTCATTCTGAGGGGCAGAGGACACTTGGCGCTACCTCTGAGTTGCTCAATGTTCCGAAGATACATCTTCGAAAACTTTCAATGTTTCATGTACTTTGGGTGATTTTGGAGATACATTTGCGGAGTTTTCGTAGTTGTATCTCTGAAATCACCTAGAGTACATGAGACATTGAATGTTTCCAGAGTTATAACTTCGGAATGCCTCAGTCTGTTTTTTCTTTTCTTTTTGTTTTTTTTTTTGTCTTATTACGTAAACTCATTGTACGGTTAATTATATTATACCTTGTAGGCATAACGGATGACAAAGCCGACCAATTGAGGCATGACGGGTTTCCCAGCATGCATCCGTTAGACAAGACCAGAGCCAGTCGGGTCCGGATACAGGAGGTACCTCTGGTCAGGGAGAGGCGTCAACTGCTGGTGTACATTCTACTCTTGAGTCTCACTCCACTCATGCGGTTCAACCTTCACCTTAGGTAACTCCAATTACATCTTAGGTCACCCTATCTACATCTCAACCCACTTCACCTTCTTCATTTTCTCCCCGCAGACCACAGGATGCACCAGCTGACGCGTTACTTTCCCCATCCTCCCGTAGGCGGTGGGATGCACCTGTGCCACCTTCTGTTGACCCGATCGCACATGCTGATCAGGATACACCAGTGCCACCTCTGGAGGGTAATATTGTTGATGTCGAGCCAGAGGCTTTCAGAGGGGGTCCATCTGATATGTCCGTACTTCCTTTGTACCCATACCACACTGTCAGACATATTTGAGACGGAGAGGTAACATTAGTCACATTGTTACTATATTTTTTACATTAACTCAAATTGTTGACATTGATTATTTTTAACATTGATTCTTCCTGATATTGATTATTTTTGGAAATTCACAAGTGTGTGATCCCCAAAAGTTTCTGAACCATGGGCAGAAGACTTTAGCATTCTTGATGCGGAGTGCTTTCATTCGGTTTTGACCGCTTCTTGGTTGAGTGACCTATGCATTACCGATTACACTTTGGTCAACCACGGGATGCTTAATGCATTTGTGGAGCAATGACACCCTGAGACCTCTTCCTTTCATCTCCTGCACGGTAAGATGTCGATTACACTGGACGATGTCTTGTGTTTGTTGCATCTACTAATCATAGGGAGATTCCTCCATAATGGTAGGATAACCAAAGACGAGGCGGTCGATATGATGATGAAGCATTTGGAGGTTGATCCAATGAAGGCGCTGAGGGGGTGGACAGGACCAGGGGTGCTCATGTTATGTTTTCTTTCTTGAATGAGAGATTTGATGAGGCGCTTGTTGCTGCAGCGCAGGCCGATGGTGATGCCAAGGAGGTGGCCATACACAGGAGTCATGCTTTGAGGTGTTATTTTTTATTTTTAGTTGGCATTGTGCTTTTAGTAGACACGAGTGCCACCTACACTGGCGTTGCATACCTCCGGTACTTCTTGGATCTCACACGGATCCATGAGTACAACTGAGGGGCCGCTTGCCATGCATATATGTATTTGAAGCTGAGAGATGGATATTGGTGGACAACGAGGCAGACCACAGGCAACACGACCTTACTCGTGGTAATAATATTTTATCCTTGAATGTTTTTATTTTATCTTTTTTATTTTATATTTATGATAATTCTTGATTCCTGGATGCTTTTTTATTTTCATTTCAGGATTGGCTCCTTCAGCACTTCCGGCGCATCGTTGGTTGGTCGTGTTGGGATGAGTACACTAAGGAAATGCCTTGTGCCTGTGCTTTTATCCTGTGAGATGGAACCACGCGGTCGAGCCTTTTAGAGTCTATCTTGACCACTTGGTTGTTGAGAACATCCATCTTAACTGCTACGAGGATCACTGTTAGACGTGACCATTTGATGACATATTGATATACTTTGGATTATTGGCCTCCTCATCGACGGTCGCTGCACCTCATTTGTCCGAGCGCGTCATGCGGCGGTTCGGGTACACCTAGACCATCCTCAAACACCTTGTTGTATCTACACCTTCGAAGATGACACATATACAAATAAAGGAGATGTTTGCTAATTATCAGAGTCATCTGGTGTCGAATGAGGTTCAGGATACCATAGCGCCGAATAACTGGAGCTATGTCGACAAATACATCAGGTGGTTCTTCACAGTCTCACATCCGCACATGGTGTCGACTGCTATAGGAGATCATCTAAGACCAGCTCGTCAGGAGATTCTTGAGGAGCAACAAGATCAGGTGGATCATACTTAGGATGTCTTGCCTCATTGTTGTTGTATAGTGCAGATGGTTTAACACCCCAAATTTAATTGAAATATTTTAATTTATTTATTTAATTGAGAATATTCGTATTTTGGTGGTTTTTGGTGGTTTTGTGGGTTATTGGGAATTATGCATTTTTGAATTATTATTTAATTAATAGTATACAATATGGAAATATTAGTATTATTATTAGTTAAAATAAATATAAGTGAAATAAAGGTAATTTGGGCATTAAGAGGAGTTAGTAAGGGTGTTATGGGAAAAGCCGAATTGTGTGGCCCAAGACTAGGTTTGACAAAAAGGAATTCTGAAGGAAATTAGGATTCATTTTGTTAATCGTGAAAAGTATTAAGGCCAGAGCTCTGAGGAGAATATTGGAGGCAAAAGCTTCGAGAGATTCCCTGAAAGATTGAGAAGGCTTTGATCGACAACTAAGGTATGAGGAGTTTAACATTTCATAATTTTTCATGTGTTACTTTCAGTGTATTTAAGGTTGATTTAAGGGTTTAAGAGTTTTGAGGCGAATAATGAGAAAAACGGATTTTTGGCCTTCGTGGCCTAAATCGATTATTGAGAATTTTAACCGTAGGGATTTATTTGGAAAAAGGGAAACTATGCCTTTGTGGCCAAAAACTATGATTTGACTCTAACCCTGTAGGAAAATTTGATAGTAAGAACCCTGATGGTTGTGGTGTAGTGGTAAGTATTCCTGACAGTTAGAGTATAGATATGAGAAATTGTGATCTTTGCCCTTCGTGACCTAAACCTATTAGTGTGAATCTAACCTGGAATCGGTTGGGGAAAAGGGAAAGGTAGGCCTTCGTGGCCAAAATCTTGAATTGTTATACGTCTAACCCTGAAGGGATAGGAATATTTGATAGTGAGTAACTCTGATGCCTTAGGGTGTAATTGAAGGAAAAATTGTGATTTAGGGCGTGAATATGTTACGGGATTGGCCTAGTAAATTGTAGGTTTTGTGCCTTTATTGCCGTAAGACCTTAGGGATGATTTAGATATGTTTTGGGGTCATTTGGGAGAGTTAATTGTGTGAATTTTTGGGTTGATTTAGGTTCTGGAGCGTAACAGCGTTTTGCTGTCTGTCACAACTGTTCATGTTTTCGGTCAAAATCGTTTTGGACATAATTTT